ACCGGGCGCCTTTGCTTCCTCCTCTGGCTCCGTCTACTACCTCATTAAACTTTTGTTCGACTCGTGCTTCTCCTGCCTCCACCGCACCCTCACCGTCCTCTGGCACAGCGCTCTGGGAAAGGCAGTGCCTTGGAGGTCACAGCTGGGACACAGGTCCTTCCTGGAGCCTTTTCTGGTGCAGGAGGCCTTCTCTGGGAATGAATAAGGCCCCACTTCCTGAAGTATAACCAAGGGCATGGTGCCGGGGAGGAAGGCAGGTGAGGTCTTCATTTCAATAGAAGGGAGCCTCACCAAGACCCCTGTCGCTTTAGAGTGACGAGGCATTGCCATATCAGCCTAAGGTAGAGGAGGTGGTCACTAGGGCTAGCTGTGTCCTCTAGTCTCTCACAGCCTTTTGCATCATGCATGAATTCTCTTTTGGGGTCAGGCTCCACAAAAGAGTTTCCTGCGGCCACTGATTTTGGGCAACATTTACCGACCTGGGTCCATGACTGGGTTGGTCCTGCCCTGGTGAGCTTTAACTGTCAACTTCACTCAGCTTAGAGTCACCTCAAAAAGGAGTCTCAGCTGAGGGGTGAGCCAGCCAGCCTGGCCTGTGGACAGGTCTGTGAGGGACTGTCTTGATTGTTGCTTGATGTGGGAGTGGCCAGCCCGCTGTCGGTGATCCTGAGCAGCATAAGAAAGCTGAGAAGGAGCCTGCGAGCTGGCCAGCAGCCTCTGCTGCAAAGTGACTCTAAGGCCAGCCTAAGCCACATGAGGCCAAGTCTCAACACACAAATCAAGAAAACATCACTACCGGTAACGACAAAAACCAGAGGTGGGAGATGCTGTGAAAAACAAGGCCTCGAGGTCCCGGTCATGGACCCAGGTCGGTAAATGTTGCCCAAAATCAGTGGCCGCAGGAAACTCTTTTGTGGAGCCTGACCCCAAAAGAGAATTCATGCATGATGCAAAAGGCTGTGAGAGACACAGCTAGCCCTAGTGACCACCTCCTCTACCTCAGGGAACTGGAGGCGAGCTCGAAAAGGAAACTGTGGGACATCAGTCTCTCCCTCGCTCTGCTGCCTGGCTTATGATGTAGCACTTTGTTCCACACATGTTCCTTCCAGCATGTCACCAGAGGCCCAAAGTGAGAGGGTCACTCAATCTTGGATACTCACTAGTGGCCCCAATGAATGGGTCGGCCCCAAGCCATAAGCCAAACATAAACTTTTTTCTCTTTATAAGTTAATTGCCCCACGTATTTCATTAGGGTAATTCAAACTGATTAATACAATACTCTGACATTTTCTACTATTAATCTAGTTGCTATAAAATAAACCAACCTTAAGTGATGCTCAGGCATCAAGTCCTCATGGCCCTGGGACTACTTACATAGGTATGTGTAAATTGCTTACATGATGTCACTGTGTTATCTCCAACAAAGTCCCTTTCAGCTAATGTCCCTTACAGCATGCTATTAAAAAAACCACAGTAAAGTTTCCTACCAGACTTTGCTCAGGGGCTGCACAGATCCAAAACAAACGAAACAGAACTCTGCTCAGAGGCCACTAGGTGGCCCTCTCTTCCAGCTCCCGAGGGCCTGAGTCTACAGGAGATTTGTTCTCTTTCTTCTAGTAGCTCCACTTGCTGCTGTTTGACCTGGCTCGTGTGTACAGTTCCTGGAGTGCCCAGTACAATCTCCCATAAACAGGAAACGAAATAGTCAAAAACCAAAATCAGTTGCAGTCTCGGGATAGAAGACGATCAGTTCGCTCCGCTGGGCAAAGTTTCCGACAGGGCTCCTGGGGAAGCACTCTTGCTGGTGGAGCTCTGGTTAGCTGTGGAATGAGATTTCAGTCGAGCGCCCAGCGTGGTCCATGCCTAGACTCACGGCTGAGGTGGGAGAATTTTGAGGCAAGGCTAGTCCAGGCTACTTACAAAATCAGGGTCACTTCTGTAAATTAGAGGGATGTCTGGACTTGGCAACCAGTTCGACCCCTCAGATGCTTACTCCACAAGGCAGCCAGGAACATTTGTGCTCAATAAAAGCACGGAATGGAACACCATCTGGCAGTGGAACGCCTCTTTGCCCATGTTGTACTCTGAACAAAACTCACCTTAGGCTTATCCCCCCCACACACCTGTTTTTCTGAGACAGGGTTTCTCTGTATAGCTCTGGCTGTCCTAGACTCCCTTTGTAGTACAGGCTGGCCTCAAACTCACAGAGATCCACCTGCCTCTGCCTCCAGCGTGCTGGGATCCAAGGTGTGCGTCATGGAGTGGTTATACCACCACCTGGCTATATGAAGTATTCACAAGAACAGTGAAGAAGAGCTGGTGTGCAGGCACCGTGCCTGACCCTTCCACTTGAACTTCAAACTTCATGGGTTTTTCCATGCAGTCTGCTTTCTCTCTTTTTTTCCCCTTTCTTTAGAGACAAAGTCTAATGTAGCCTAGGCTAGCTTCCTACATAGCTGAACCATGCCTGGCTCCCTTCTAAGGTTTTCTCCCTCTCTTAGTGGTTTGAGCTTTCTGTTGCTGTAACATGATCCCTGGAACCAGTTTAAAAGAGGGAAGGGTGGTGTGGTGTAGTCCTTTAATTCCAGCCCTTGGGAGGCAAAGGCAGAGGCAGGTGGATCTCTATGAGTTCTAAATCAGCCTGGTCCATATAATAAATGAGTTCCACACTAGCCAAGGCTTCACAGTGAGACTGTGTCTCAAGAAACAGAAATAAATAAATAAATAAATAAATAAATAAATAAATAAATAAATAAATGAATGAATAAATAAATAAATAAATAAATAGGAGAGAAGGCTTATTTGGGCTCATGTTTTCAAATGTTTCAATCTGTATTTGTTGTTGCTTTGGCGTCTGTGAGACAGAGTGGGGAATGCTGTTAAGGATATTAATCCTCAGCTAGACCCCTGTCCTAGAGTTCCCACCCCCTCCAAAGAGCCTATTATGCTACCCCAATATGAAAACGCTGATAGGGTCAGAGCCCTTAGGATCCAGTCATCTCCCAAGAGTGACCACACCTTTGAATGCTGTTGCATTTTCGGACCAGAGCTTCAGTACATGGCTTGGGGGTGGGGGCTACAGCAGGAATGAGGGTGGAGGAGGAGGGGTGGTGGGAGGGGGCATTTCAGTTGTTACCAGGTTAATCACAAGATGAATGCCTCTTCATCACAAGCCATTTTACAGCAAACCATGGGTCCTCAGTTACAATCAGGCCCTGAACCAAGACTATGACTTGACTGGATTAAAATGCAGTTCCCTGTCCTCATTGTCTCAACTTTAAGCTGCTTGATTCTGATGAGTTAGCTCCCTGTGGATGACAGTCTCCTGACTTTATTCTTCTGATCTCCATCATAGTAATCTCTCTGATGTCCTGTTTCCTCCCGAGTGCTAAGTGCTCCCTGGCAGCCATCTTTCCCACACCCATTCTATTCTATCTGAGTGACCTAACAAAATCCCAAGGAAAAAAATTATCAGCCAGCTAACCTGACACTGTAGACTGTGAACTCTGTACTAAGACCAAATACTGTAGGAGGTGACAAAAACTGAGTAATTACACTTGCCTAAAGCTGCACTGCAGCCCTTCAACTTATAACCAAACTTTGTGAGTAATCAGCATAGTGAAATTGGAGGGGACCTCCTAACAGCCAACTATAGCTGCTGAGCTTTCAGCCAATCACAGGCTGGGAACAGCTCTCAGTCCTCCTAAGGCAAAAATCCTCTGGTAAGGGCTCTCACTGATATCACTTTTATTGTTTATAAATTTGCTTTCACTGTCTCAAGGTGCTTCCTAATTCCTGAATTCCTTCTTCGTCCAAGTAGACACTGCTCAGTGTCATTTGTCTGGTTTTTCCTTTAGCAATGGCAAACATTGCTCAGGTGGCCACCAGCCTCAGCCCTACAGGAAAGGACATGACGATCACAGCACTCAGACGTGACCATGACCGCTGCCAATAAGCTCCTCCTCATTGGCACTCTCCCTCCCTCCTCCTCCTCCTCCTCCTCCTTCTCCTCCTCCTCCTCCTTCTCTCTCTCTCTCTCTCTCTCTCTCTCTCTCTCTCTCTGTGTTTTTTGAGACAAGGTTTCTCTGTGTAGCCTTGGCTGTCCTGGACTCACTTTGTAGACCAGGCTGGCCTTGAACTCACAGAGATCCGCCTGCCTCTGCCTCCCTGAGTGCTGGGATTACAGGTATGCACCACCACTCACAACTCAGGTTCTCCTTAGGGAACCGAATGTCTCTGTGTCTTGCCAAAACTTTTTTCCTTTATGTACATTGATATTTTGATTGCATGGGTATCTGTGTGGAGTCAGATCCCCTGGAACTGGAGTTACAGGCAGTTGTGAGCTGCCATGTGGGTGCTGGGAATTGAACCTGGGTCCTCTAGAAGAGCAGCCAGTGCCCTTAACCGCTGAGCCATCTCTCCAGCTCCCCAGCAAAACCTTTTCACTAACTGGTGCCAACACATCCCTCCAGCCTGTCACACCACCTTCCCCTGCACTGATGCCAAGTCTCTGAATGTCCCACATGAGGGAATGGCCTCCTCACAGCATTCCTCAAGGCTCACTTCAGATATCATCTTACAGTGGGTCTTCCTGTGTCCCCACAATGTCTCCTGTGAAGAACAGTGAGGGTCTGAGTTTGACGTTGCATTGGAGAAGACTTGAGCCAAATGACAAAATGGTCCCTTCTGATGTTAGTGACTTGGGAGCCACACCCAGACTTCCTGTCTAACTCATACATGGCTGACCTCAGTTGTGGCCCTGGCCCTTGGCTGCCCACCCAGGTGACTCTGTGACACCAGTTGGGATTGAGAAATGGAAGAAACAAACAGTAATGGTGGCCAACAACGGGGGTAGTGACCACTGTGGCTGGCAAGCAGAAGTAGTGAGCAGTCCACAGGAAGCACCTCAGATAGCCACACCTCATGGCCTGGACTTTGGCTGACCTGGGAAGGCAAGCCAGAGGTGCCATTCAGGGCTTGTTCACTCGGTTCCAGCCACAGTGGACGGATGACCAGGATGACCTGGGAGCTGCACCTGCTGCTTCTGCTGGGGCTGGGATTCAGGTCCCAGGAGGCCCTACCACCACCCTGTGAGAGGTAGGAGTAAGGAGAAGCTGGGTGTAGGAGGAAGGGGAGGGTGAGCTTTTTGTTTTGTTTGTTTTGTTTTTCGAGACAGGGTTTCTCTGTGTAGCCCTGGTTGTTCCTGTGACTTTGTAGACCAGGCTGGCCTATAACTCACAGAGATCTGCCTGCCTCTGCCTTCTGAGAGCTGGGATTAAAGATGTAGGCTTGGTGGCGCACACCTGCAATCCCAGCACTCGTGGAGCCAGAGGCAGGCACATTTCTGTGAGTTCGAGGCCAGCCTAGTCTACAGATGGACTCCAGGACAGAGAGAAACCTTGTCTCAAAAAAAAAAAAAAAAAAAAGGCAGCTGTGGGCCACCATGCCTGGCTTGGTTTTGTTTTGATTTTTGCTTTTTGAGGGCAAGGACAGAAAGCTGCAATGAGAGCTCACCCTCTAAGGGCCAGCATCTCAGAGAGAAAGGGAGAAATAATTTGGGCTTTTGGAGGGTAGATCCTGTGCCAGACACCAAAATTTACTGTGTTGGAACAAGCTAGAACTTTGAAGCAGCCTCTATGTGACCCCAAAGCTGTTGACCAAAGCCGGCCCTCCGTGCAGCTGGCCAGAGCTCACCATCCAAGCTGCTCCTTGGATTGAGCAGGGCTGTTCCCTCCATTGTTCTAGCAAAACTTTCCTAGCCTGGTGTGAGGGGAGTCTAGGGCCTGTCAAGAGCCCGTGGGGTTTAGCTTACCCTGCTGCTCTCTCTTTCTCAAATCTTTCTCCTGAGCCTCAGCTGCCACCAGCAAATACAAAGACGAGGGTGCCATCCTGCCTCCTGGTTATGGGGCCCTCACTCACTGTTTCCACGTGGGCCCATGGAGCTCTCACTCTACCCCCACATCACCAGCTCGCTCAAGAAGGGTGAAAACAGAGCCTCAGGGGTGGGGGGAAGAGAAGCTGGGGAGCTAAGCAAGGAATAAGCAGAAGGGTGTTAGGATGGGGCGAGTCTCAGAGGAGGCAAAATGAACAAACAGAACCGTGGAAGGAGCCAGCTTTGAGCAGAAGGAGACAGCAAGGCAGAGAGCCTGCAGGACAAAGGCTCTGGGGTATCTTCCAAGGGTCACAAAGTCCCGAGTAGCCTGAACGTAAATAGAACCAGGCCCTGATGTAGAGTTGGCTCTAGGGAAAAGGAGACCAGGCCCATGGGCTGGTGGCAGGACTGAAGATTCTGCAGGGGATGAGTTTTGAAGACTGAGCTGTGAAGACTTATTGATGACCAATTGAGGGAGTGTGGAGGGAAGGGAAGGACCTGGAGTAATTACTAGGACTTGTTTGATCAGAAGCAGTCAGGATTTCAGAGTGACAGTTCAATCTAGTCTCTTGTGTCCTGTTGGACTATTTGCAGAGTGCAGACTATGCTGCTTGTCCCTGAGACCAGTGGCATGTCAGTGGTCTCCTCAGACAGTCACATGTGCACTTGTGGATGAAAGCCATTGATGGAACAGACATAGGGTAGTCTAGGAGAGAAGAAGCTCAACCTTCCAGCAGTCCTCTCTCTCCCAGGGAATGTGCTCATGAAGTACCACCACCCAGGAGGCTCCCGAGTCTCCAAGTTTGACTTTCTTTTGGGGGTCATTGACGGCGACCTCTCTAGCTCTCCGAAGGTTAAACTGATGGTGTGTGGCCTGTTGCCCCTACCATAAATCACAACGTTAGGCTAAGATAGCCGTAGAGCTCGAAAGCACTCACCAGGCCACACGGTCTGCTGTCTTAGCCCTGAGCTCTCAGGAAACCTGGCCGCGTTCCCACCCATGCAGGCAGCGCTTTTCTGCTGTGTGATGAGGAATCTGAATGGTCTTCCTCTTGGTTTCCTGGCAGGCTATGTCTAAGCCCTCGGAATTTCTCAGATGATAGGCTCAGCATGGGCCTTGATGGCTTATGGAAATAAGGTGACTTTCGGCATGCCCCCAGGGGGCACATGCTTCTAGGATGGGGGCAGCCACTCCAGAAACACAAGAATGTGTTAAGAAACTTGGACTTTTGGGTCACAAGATATCATTTGACCTTCAGGAAAAGGAAGGTTGCTGGACATTGCATTCAATCACATGGCCAGTGACTCAGTTAATTGTGCTCTTTTTAACGAGACCCTGACCATATCTCTGGATTCCAGACACTGGTGAAGCTTTCTGGGTTGGAGACACACCAGTGAGTTGGCTGAGTGAAGCATCTTGGTTCCACAGTGAGGAACATCGCAGTGGTCAGGAGTCTCCCCACCCCCACCCAGCAGTGTCTTCATTTGGCTCGTCCTGATTTGCTCCCAGTAAGAAAAATAGAACCCGGCTGAGTGTGTCCTTAATGCCTCAGGTAGGCAGAGGCAGGCAGACCTCTGAGTTCGAGGCCAGCCTGGTCTACAGAGCAAGTTCCAGGACAGCCAGGGCTACACAGAGAAACCGTATTACGAAAAGCAAAAACAAGAGAAAAATGTTATCACAAGAGTAGTGGTGGTTTTCTGGGTTCCGGGTTCTAACAAATTTTATGGAATCTGAGGACCAAAGGATCTGCCACATTTACACTCAGTTCCCCCTAAGCTTATTGCTGTCCTCTTCATTAAAAAGGGCTGTCCCCTTAACCTGTGTGTGGAATTGCATGTCTCCAGGTGGCTTGCACCAGAATTTAATTGCAGTTGGTGTTAGTGTATGATTTAGGAGAATCCCGCCAGCCTCCTCGTAGGGGCTGCTTAGGAAAAGGAAGGAAACAAAATGAAACAAAACACCTTAGGTGAGGAGGAAGTTTTCACTCCTGGGTGACCACAAGTTTGCTTTGGCACTGAAGAACACTTGCACCAGGCTCAGCGCACTCCATTAATTCAAGCACTGATGAGACGGAGGCAGGTAGACCTCTGTGAGTTCAAGGCCAACCTGGCCTAGCTTAGCTTGTGAGTTCCAGAACAGCCAAGGCCACACTGAGAGACCCTATCTCTCTCAACAACAACAACAAAACCAAACTCACAAGAAACCAAACCAACAGAAGTGTTATGCTGTGTTAGTTAGTGGTGGGATTTTGAGATGACAGATCTAATTCCTAGGGAACTGACTCCCTGATACATGAGGCAAAGGACACCAATAAGAAACAAGCAGGACTGGAGAGACGGCTCAAGGCTTAAGAACACACTCTACTCTCCCAGGGAATTGGAGTTCGGGTCCCAGCACCCACACTTGGCAGCTCACACCCTATTGTAACTCCAGCTCCAAGTAGCTCCACCCTCTCTGACCCCGTGGGCACCTGCACTCAGAGTCGTGTGTTTGTACAGCCATATGCACTCTCTCTCTCCTTCTCCTCCCTCCCCCCTTCTCTCAAGAAGCTGGAAAAAAGACCAAATACATGGGATGTAGCTCAGTTTGTCGAGGGCCTGTCCTAGCATGAGCGAAGCCTGGGGTTTGATCCCAGCACTGCACAAGCAAGGCATGGTGGCACCTACTTCTAATCTCAGCTCTTGGGAGGTAGAGGCAGGAGGATTGCCAGTTCAAAGTCAACCTGAAGGTCATCCTCATGTAGCTACCTTGGGCTACATGAGACCCCGTCTCAAAAACTAAACCAGGAACTGACGGGATGGCTCAGTGGGTCTCATTGTGTGGTCCAGGCTGACGTCGATCTCTCAACCTTCCTTCTTCACCCACTTAAGTATGGGAGTAGAGGCATCCCCCCCCCCCCCGCAAGGAGCTGTTCACCCTCTGTTCGGCAGAGAATGGGCCTTGGGGCAGTAGCCTTTGAACACCTTCCCAGCATAATTGCTGATACTTTGGACTAGGGAACTGCCAGCCGGTGGGGTAATTAGTAGCTTGCTATCAGATATTAGTTGAAATTTCCCCTAATACTAAGGGCCGTGAGATACTGCTGATACACGAAAGACTATGGCATCTGGACCATGTTGAAGCTCTCAGAGAGAGGGCTGTGCCCTGTGGACACTCTCAATAAACCCACAGTTTGTGTAATCCGATGTCTATTCCGAGGTAAACATGGACACCCTGTTTTGGTTGAAGGGAATAAGAAATCAATTCCATGGGCTGAACTAAGAGTCTTTGCCTATAATTTTGGGTTTCACCAACTCTTGAGTGGGGTCTAATATCCTGGATCATAATGGTCAGGAGGAAAGATAATGGAAAAAACTCTGTGACCTTTAAAGGTGTGAGGCTATAGCTCAGTTGATAGAACACATGCCTAGCATACAGGAAGTTGATCCCTAGCACTGCATAAATGGGGCAGTGTGGTCCATTCCTCTAATCCCAGCACTCAGGAGGTGGAAGCAGAAGGATTGGAAGGTCAAGGTCATCCTTGGCTCCATATGTAGTACAGGGCCACTCCAGGATAAGACCCTGAATGAGGAAAGAGGAGGAAGCTGGGAACAGGCAGTGAAGACATGTGTCTTGTACAGCAGGGAATAATGAGAGATAAAGGCGTGAAAGGCCGGCCTGCACAAGTTGACATACCTGTGCCAGCGTTCGGGAGCTCTAGCACACTGTTAGTACAGGCCTCTGCTTTTCCGGTGCCTTAGAAAGCGGGTGTGGGAGGATGCCGGCCTGACTAGCCAGTTCTTCCCGTGGGGAAAGGGAACAGTAAAGCTGTTTGTTTTCTTGTCATCTGAGCTTGCTCTTCTTTACCTGATGTCACTGTCCCAGCAGGACGGCAGCTACTAGTGCCAGAATCCACGGTGGTTCCCAAGCAAGGAAATGAAACTGTGCCTATCAGTAAGCATTCCCACGCCAGCCATTTGTAACCAGTTACTCCAAACTGTAAGCAGCCCGAAGACCCTCAAACTTGTCACAAGCATCTGAGTGAGGGTGGCTTTAGTAGACTGTACCCCCTCAATGTGTGGAGCCTGATTTGTATCAGAACTGAATTGCCTACATCACAGCTATTCTGACCGTGGCCATGATTTTTGTTTGTTTTTTGAGTCAGGGTTTCTTTGTGTATCCTTGGCTGTCCTGACTCCCTTTGTAGACCAGGCTGGCCTCAAACTCACAGAGATCTGCCTGCCT